AATTAAGTTCAATAAATGAATTTGTTGTAGAACTAGCAAATTTGTATTCTCTTTTATTACTAGGCTCAATGTCAGAAGTAGAAGAAGAAGATGATGAACAAGTTGTAGGAATATTTCCTTCAACTTCAGATTCATACAAACTATACATTTCAAATAATAAATTATTAATTTCTTCTTTTTTTATTTCCTATATCAATATTCATATTTTCACAATATGTTTCAAGTAAAGTATCTAAACCATCTTTCCAAATCCTAGGGTCTAATATTGTAGCTAAACAATAAAGGGGAGAAATGTTCTCTCAATATATATATATTTTTAAATTTATTGTCCATAATTTCAACAATAAATTGAAATTATGGATTATTTCTATATTTAGCAAAACAATCACTAATTACCATTAATTGATATGGTAAGTTACAACTAGTTGGATAATAAATTATAGATAATTCATTTGTTGCATCATAAAAAAGTTTTAAACAATCTCTTATACATACTGCCATTTCCCAGTATTCCTCAAATATCATATCATTAGGCATTTTTAAATTATAAAAATCAGAAAGAATTTGTTTATGAGATATACAACTTTCTAACATATCATAGGTACAATTCCACTTATGCTTTACATCTAATATAAAATGTTTATATTTTAAACCATAATTTTGGCATAAATATTTAAATTATTATTTTCTTGCCCCTGAACTATATATATATATGTATATACAATTTTTAATTTTTGAAATATGAGTATAAATAATATTCAAGGCATCTTGAATACATAAATTTAAGATGTGATATGCACATCTAATATGAAATAATTTACTATTTAAGCATGGTTTTAATTGAAATTTTAAAACATTTATTGCAGAATCATTATTGCAGGCATTATCAAAACTAATATCCATAAGCATGCAAAGTATTTAAAATACTTGCAGCAATAGCTGGGCCACCATGTGGCCATTTAAGCCTAGTAAAACTTAAAATTCTTTTTTTCAAAAGCCAATTTTCATCAATGAAATGGCCAGTAACCCAAATATAAATAATATTAAATTTGGATGTCCAAACATCTGAAGTAATTGCAACTTTAGAATTAAGATTTTCTAACAAAGAAATTAAATTTTGTTTATATGAATACAAATTTTTTAAAGCATCAGTTCTTATAGTAATCCTATAAACTTTTTTATACTGTGGGTTTACAGAACTACGCAACCATTTTTTTAGCTTTAGATCTTCAGCTAATATAAATGGTTGTTTTGTATGTACATTATACTTAGCAAGTTATTGTCTCATTTTTTCTTGTGAATATCGAAAAGTACCAAAACTAGTTCCCCTCCCAATCAGTGTTTGGGTTTTTTCTCTCCCTTTTTCATCTTCCTCTTGCTCATGTGTGAGTAGATGTTTGCTCAAATGACCTGTACCGCCCTTGCTACAATAAGTAAAGTCTTTCCTACATTTTTGGTAAACGACTCTTTTCCCTTCCCATCAATATCCTTTACTTTGAAAACTTTCCAAACCAACTACTCAGCTTAGAAACCTTCATTTTTCCCCTAATACCACTACTACCGGGGGTGAAAGTTCCACTTCTATCAACATTAATCATATCAGTGCTAACACTATCGTGATGCGATTGAATGTCATCCACGGTGAACATGTTGGAGAATCGGTTTTCAGAAGAGCCGACCATTTTTTTTTAAATTCTAAAAAGATAAAAATTAATCTAATTTGACTTACCCGGATTGCTGGTTCAAAATCCCAACTTGATTTCAACGTCCAAGCCTCTCAATTTGAGATACTTGAGCTAGTTAAGTAAGCATTTTTCTTGTTGAAAGTCGAAACTTCGATAAAGTTGAGACTTGAGTAATGGAGAATGCAGAATGCAGAATCAGACAACCAGACAATCAGCTAATCATAATTTCTCAGATTGCAAATAATTGTGAATGTATGAGTATGAGAGAGAGAGAGAGAGAGAAGAGATTAAGAGAATTGTTGAATTGGTGTGATGAGAATGGTGGAGGATATGGTTATTTATAGGAATTTGAACATAACTCAATTGCCCAAAATACCCAATAAACTATCTGTTATTTAGTTGTTGGGAGGGGTATTTTGGTCATTGTAAAGTTACTTATAACTTTACCCAAAGTGCCCCCTAAACTAGTTGTTATATAGTTGTTGGGGGGAAATTTATGTCATTTTTTCAACTCTCTATAAGCAAAATACAAAAATACCCCCCTAATATGGCTGTTTATAGCTATTAGGGGGTCTTTCTGTAAATCCCCCCAAAAAGTTGAAACTAGGGGGTAACGGCTATATTCCTGGGTGGGCCGAGCGTGGCTGCTACGGGCTTGGCGGGTCGTGCCGTGCCGACCTGTGGGCTTTGAACCCCCGGCTGATGGGCCTTTGTGGCGTGGTATGCCGAGTCGGTCCAAAATCGTGTTGTAGTATGGGATGGGTAGGGGTGGATTTGAGCCGAGCAGAGCCGAATAGTACCAGGCTCAAGACTGTTCTACAAGGCTCGAGCTCGAGCTAGAACCTTGAGCATAAGCTTGAGCTCGGCTTAGCTCAAGCTCAATTTAAAAAAAAAATATTCTATAAAAATAAAAATTATATATAATTTTTTTTTATATTTAAAAAATTAAGAATTATAACAATTAATAATTAAAATATTTTTAATATATATATATATATATATATATTATTTTCTATAATTTTATTATATATATTCGAACCAGCTCGCAATCCTCACAAGACAAGCTTTAATAGACTCGAGCTGGACTCGTTTAATAATCAAACCACTGAGACTTAGATAAGAGTAGTACCTTCTGAAAACAATTTTATAGAAGCTGACTCATAGGCCATAGCTCCTATTGATTTCTTAGGTGAGACTCTTTCGTGGCCATAGGAAATACCAGCCTATCTCTTGATCTGTTCCTTTATGCTGAAGTGCCATCACATTTCAGCTTGCAACTTTCGAAACCACAGTGGCGTCTGCTGTAATTTCAGCCTGATAGTGGTCCTATTATTTACTGAATGTGAAGCCCTTCCCTGCTTCTGCAATTGCATGAGCCTGAATCTCCTGAACCCCTTTTCTTTTCCAGTCTCCCCCGTCAATCAATCAATCAACAACTGAAAAACGTAATCGAGTTTTACTCGGGAGGGGGGAGAGAGAGAGAGGAAAAAGAAGCCCGTTGGACTCAAAAACGTAACGACGAAACGTATCTGGACCCGCTTTCCGGTAAAACAGTACTGCCCAGGCCCAATATCCACTGTGGCCGTAACACGTTGTTAACTCTTGGCATAACAAAATAATCCCCTACCCTATTCCTCCCTCTCCTCCTCCAACCTCCATTGTATTTTGTCCACTACCCTTCGGCCCACACTTCATACAGTGGGGCCATATGCTGGACCCCTTTTTTTTTTGCTTCTGACCGACTACTGGCTGGGTTTATCCAGTTGGAACCCACTTCAAATAATGGCTCACCAGAGACAACTGCCACGTTTAAGACATTCAAGTCTACCTGTCTACTTTAGTATCGTAGGTTGAACAATAGATCGTCATATCCCCTTTCCTTATCATTAACTTAAAAAAAAAGGGGCTAAGGAAAATATGCTTAAAACAGTTAAAGATTTAATTATGATCAGATTCATATCGTTTGTCTTCTTCCCTTATCAAATAGGCCCTCTACTCTAATGCATATTTAATTATTTATAACAAAAAAAAAAGGTATGTAGGTGTAAATAATAAAAAGGGAAAAGAAACTGAATTAGTACAAGGTAAACTGGTAAAGGAGATTTACGAGGCGTGATGGAACTTGGTGACATGAGATTATATTCTTGATAATCTTTCTTGTGAGAGACATGATGGAACACTTTTGGTTCAGAATCTCTACCTAGTTCGTTGGATAGGAATCTCTCTGTACAGGGTGTTGACAGCCTAGCAAAAGCCCTCTCTGGTCAGCATTTTAGACCTTGTTCAGCCATGTGAAAAGACTACTGCGACTATGGTCCTCTGAAACTGTGGGCGTGGACCCTCGGTCTACCCTATCTAGTTATGAGTTAAAAAGATTCCTATCCGACATTGATTATCTCGATCAAATCTTAAATTGTTAAGAGTCCTAATGCAGCAAATCAAGGCTCTTGCGTGAGTAGAGGCCATGCTCTGAGATCGGCTTCAGTCAGTGCACGGCCCGTTCGAACAGCCTTCAACATCTCCGTAAAATATTCCCAATGCATGACTGTTGGAACGGGTAGTGCACTGACTGAATCCGGTTAGCGTTTCGGGGTGACCAGAAGTCGTCTTGAACACGAGGAACATGAAGAATCGTGTCGGCCACCGGGAAAGGTTAAGTTATTGTCCAATCGCCAATCGCGTCCCAAACAACCACGAAACCCGATTCCATTAACAATTTCAAAAAGCTAGACCCTGGACCTTGTTATATATTCCAATCCGATGGCTTATTTTTCTAGTTCTAAGGCAGTAATGGATGATTAGTCGGTAAGATTATTAGTTGCCGCGCTCTGTGATCCTGGATGGGAGAGAAGATATGTTAGTCTAACGTGTCCTGGCCCCTGGGGGTTTACGTGGGTAAGATCGTAGCCGCTGGCCTGAAAGATCTGTTCCCATCTCACACTTTGGAGCAAAAAATATGGACGAAATCTTCTATTTGCCACATGGATTTACCGCAAACAGATCAGCTTAATCTTGTATGTTGTGCCAATCTTTCATCATCGCTGCTCTCAACTTTGTATGTTATGCCTGATGGCCTTATTTTACAGGTGGTTATTCTTCGCTTATTCTTTTCATCGTCATCATCATCCAAGCGTTCAATTCAAGTGAATGCTTGTATATCTATCACGTCACCATTAATTTAGCCACGTAAGACCGTGAATAGCGCACCCTCGAGTGATCCAATCATTCTCTACTCTTTTTTATTTGTTTATATTTTATATATATTTATAACCGTGAGACTCGAGTTACCTTAAAAAAAAATAAGAATAAGAATATCAAAAGGAAAAAGGGGGGAACCGGGGAAACGGGAGGGTGGGAGGAGACAGAGGGAGAGAAACCTATGCACAGCAGCTATGCTAATCAGGTTCATCATCTCCCTTGTACGCTAAAATCCACAACCCAGGAAAGAGGTGGAACTTACAGATGAGAAAATCAGAGAAAAAATAATATTGACGATAAATAGAAACTTTGAAAAAAAATTTCAGAAATAACCTATATAGCAGTGAACCCTATCTGTGAAGACTAAAGAATTGCAACGATAATGATGGACGAAATGTACGGACTACATCCGACGGTCGAATACTCAGAGCAGGCTTCATTGTCGCCGGGTAATCTTTTCTCCCCGATGGATTGTCAGAGCTTTCTTTCCGCGGGAGTTTTTCGCGATCGGGTTCCCATCTTCGCACCGGATCAGTTGTTTTCCGCCGCTCCCGCTTTATCCGAGGATGCTTCGGTCACGCCAGAAATTCAACGGAGGGTAGGGGATGATGGTATTACTGCTGCTCGTGGTGTGCTAGAAGATGAGTTGTATGAGATTAAAGTGAAAATTGCTTCTCATCCTTGTTATCCAAGACTACTTGAAGCTTACATCGATTGCCAGAAGGTAAAGAGTTTTTTTTTTCCGGCGTCGAGAGCTTTTCTCGGGTGCAAAAGTCGTCGGATAATTAAATAAATAGAACGGAAAACTTTGGAGGGAATATTGTTTTTTGTTGAATTCTGGTTTGTGATTGGAAGCGAAATGGTATTAACAAATATGTTCTTGTCTTTCCTCAGATAAAAGAAAATCCGAATTTGTTTTCTCTCTACGTACATAGTGTATAGTGTACTGATCACTAACAGTTGCTTGAGATTTAAGAAGCTTTACGTTACGTAGATTGTAAGGTAATATTTGTATACTTCTAAATGATATATACAGCAAATCGATCAAATATCTTGGTCGATGGAAGCTTCAGCGCTCCTTGCTTTCCAATCTTTGTTTCGATCTCTTACAAATTAACCACGTCTGTGTTCGATTTTGCCTTAAAATACGAGATGTCTTTTGGAGGTAGTTTCTTTTCCCTCCTTAGTCGTTAGAGCTCGAGGATTCATACTTGTTTTTTTCTTCTTTGAGTTATTTTTTTTCTTTGTTCATTGGCTTTTATTCTAACTTCATAGGAGAGAGCTATGCGTTCAAATGATGCTGTTCTTTCCTTTTCTCCAAGTGTTCAAGCTTCGCTTCTCGAACTATCACAAGACCAAACAAGGATGCTTTTGGCAGTTTCTAAAAGTTTTGGGAATCGTCGATTTGTTTCTCGCTGATAACCTGTCGCCATTGTTTTAATCTACAGCAATATTTGTCTGAAACTCACATTGCGCTATGTCCCTTGAGTTACATCGGAAATTGTTTATCTGCTGTCAATGTTTTCAACCTGTGGTTTCTCTCTCTACTTATCATACTTATCATGTCAGGAACTTGTTTGTTTATCTTCAATTTTTTTTTTGTAGGAGTTCCAATTCTATTGGTATTGATATCTGCAGGTCGGAGCGCCCGAGGACATAGCACTTCTTTTGGATGAAGTCCAGCGAGAATACTTCGTCTGTAAAAGAAACGCAGTTTCTTCTTGTTTAGGCGCCGATCCCGAACTCGATCAATTTATGGTCACTCTCTCTCTCTCTCTCTCTCTCGCTCTTGCACACACACACACACACAACTCATTTTAAGTTCCTGCTTCTTAATATTTCTCCATCTTGTTCTTCGTTTCTCTTCTCAGGAAACTTACTGCGATATGCTGGTCAAGTATAAAACGGATCTCTCAAGGCCATTCGATGAAGCAACCACGTTCTTGACCGAGATACAAATGCAGCTCAGGAATCTATGCAAAGGTCCTTCCAGAAGTTCCGTTTCGGGTTTTTCTCTCTTAATCTCTGTCTCTCTCGAAAAATATTTATTTATACAAATACCCAATTATGACAATCCTTTTATTTTTATGTAGATATTGATTTCCGTGCAATATTATTTCTCTCTTCTTCCTTAATATGCGTTTGGTATATTCTTGCCAGTTTTGTTGCAATGACTATTAGTGCATTATTTCTCATGGTTTTTTCTGGATAGGTTTTGTCTTCTGTTTTTGGATTGGTTTTGTTTATAAAATTAGTTCTTATTTTGTTTCGAGTTATAGTCATCTGGCGCACAGTACCATTTTAGCTGGTTCAGTTTAGCAAAAAGGACTCGTGGGAACTGCTGTTGTTTTCACAAGTCCCAGTGGTATTGATATTGAGCAGAAGGCTCTGACATTAATACTGAGGAACAAAGTTCTTTCACAAACAGATAAGAACAATAATCCATAAATACTGAAAAGGATCATTATCTTGGGAAAATTACTTTTTCTTGCAGGAAAGAAAATTTCAACCATTTTAGTCCATCTAGTTGGAAGCTTAGAATTTGTATTTTGCTCCAGTAACGGAAAATTGTAATGTCTAACGAAATAAACTCGAGATAACGACATTCCAGTCCAGAAGTTTGTAACAGAATTATTATTATTAATATTGTTGCTGTTGTTGTTGTATCTTTGGTTTGTTTGTTTTCCAGTTTTCTCTATCTGAGCCTGTGCTGTTTCTTTTCTATCTTCAATCTTCAGTTACGTGTGCTTTTCCTGTCAGAAAAAATGAACAATAGAAATAACCTTTTTGTCCTAGGGTTTCTGATTTTGATATCTCAGCTTTTTTTTTTTTCAAGTTATGAAGAACAAATCAGCAGAATATCTTCAAGAGGGAAAACAAAAGAGAGGGGGAAATCTAAATCTGGGTACATCTGCAACTTAGAACATCATCCCTTGTAATCTAAAAGAGCTCAGCTTGGAGACCCGGAACGAGTAAAACTAATATACAACTCCATGCACTTGGGTGTCTTGAGTAATTAATCATGTAATGACAATAACCTTCAGTTTATTTGGATAAATTGAATCCAATGAGGCCAACAAAAATGGAAAAACAAAAGACCAGGAAAATAATTAGTAATTAAAAAGATGAGGAAAGGAAAAAGATTCTTGCAATTAAATAATTGTTATTCCACGGTCACAGCTAATATTTGTCCTAGGCCTCAAAAGTGAGCTTATTAAATTTTCTTGCCTGTTTGACTGGACATCAATTAATCCTCCCTGAGAATGCAAGAGCTCAGTTATTTCTACAGTAACCTAAGTTCATTTGATCGATCAGATGACATCATTTGTATCAAAGGGAGGATACCCCGTATCTAATCTTCAATTTTCAGTCAGTTCTTTAAAGGGTGCACCTAAGTGTGCTTAGGCTCATGGGTAAAGTTCATTTTGTGTAGTGTGCCTTGCCTGAACTCAATTTCACCTAGCCTGGATTGTTGCCATATTTTGATGAGTTAACATTTAATTTCATACTGACTACATAATTTACTATACTAGGGCTTGAAAGAACAAAACTGCTGGTTCATGTTCCTTTTATTTTTATGAAAACTTTATTTTTATAAAAAAAGTCTATAACTTTGGTGTTAACAACGCGATATCTGAACCAATTTAGATTTCCATACTTTGGATTTAAGTTTTGCTTGTCATTGTTTTTTTTTTTTTTTTTTTTTTTTCAAAAGTAGCATCTCACTTTGTTATGGTATGCATCTGACCTTGTTTATTGTGGTTTACTCTCTAAGAATCTCTTTGTGCTTTAGTTGCACTTCTAACTTTTAAAATACTTTCAATTATTTCTCTTTATAACATAAATCATAATAAGGGGAAGAAAAGATAAAGATCTTTCTTTCTTTCGAGGAACCTTCATTTATAAATCCATGACTAATATGGTCTTTTAGTAAATGTCTTCCCGGTCACATGTGATCTTCCCTACAATTTAATAGCATTGACTAGCATGGTCCAACCCTATTTATATTCAAGTCTCATTTTAATGTGTTGTTTGTACATCTGGTGTATGTGCCAAGGAGGGGATTCTGTTGCATTTACTGGGGTTGGTTTGTTTGTATAGGTTTGTTCCTCTGTCATTTTCCCCTGTTTAATAATATTGTAACTATTTTTACCCTCTTGAATCCATTGGCATGAATTCACGTTAGGTCAATATATAAATGTTATAGGCAGCAGATATTGAGATGTAGGTCTTCTTTGCACAACTTTGTTTTGGTATTATTAGGCAAGCTTAGTACAATATCGTTCTTTCTATCTTTTCTAGCAAATTTTCCTTATTTTGAATGCTTATGAATTGGATGATGCCCCTTTTTTTATTGGAGCAAAATGTTAAAGTTTGAATATAAAGTTATAAATTGTTATAAAGAGGGATTTGTTTTTCTAATCAATCTGATTAAAACTAAATAAATGTGAAATTAATAATCTGAAATGATGTCTGCATTGAGTTACTCGTCAAGAGGGATTTCTATTCCAATTGCTTGGTTGGTGATGTCAACCAAAGATTAGACCTAAATGTTTCCTTGGCACTGGAAAAGGTTTCATTGTAAGTCAATATCTTAGACTGTGTATAATAGAACCTGGCAAACATGAAATCTTTCTTGTACTTGACTGATTTTAATTTCTCCTTCCATGAAGGGCACAAGTGTCCTCCCGAGTGCCCAGAGTTGCACGATGATCAGGACTGAACATCATATGAAATCGAGTGTTTAGGGCTTAAAACTTTTTGGTTACATGTCAATCTGTTGGCAGTGGAAGGATGCTTGTGTCTGGTAGGAGTTAAAATGAGTGGTACGTCATCAGTGAATTTCATTAGACACTTGTGATCTCGTCTCTCAGGGAAGTACCTAAAGCCATATTTTTGTAAGACTTACTGGTTGTGTGTGATGGCTTACCAATATTTTCCTTCTCTTGGGCTCTGTTGACTTTCCTGTCCTGGCTGTGTATAACTATAGAGTAACTGCTGAAGTTATTTGAATATCTGCTAAGCATAGTCAACCTTTTTACTTGTATTGTTGTTTTAGTAGTTATTTATAAAGTGAAGACTGCAACACATAGATACCGAATAAAATTGTGCTATTTTAAGAATTTGTTTGGTAATAGATTGCTTGGTTAATGGTGTTTTGGTTGTTTGGTTGTGGAACTAATGAAATTGATGTGGGAGTAACAGCCTTTTCTATGTAGAATGCATCATTGTGATTAAAAAGTTGTGATTTGTTTCAGATTGGCAAATGAAGTTAAAAGAAGTCATTGTTAGGTGTATGGTTTTCTAGGCACCATGGTGAGGCCTGGCGATAGCTGATGGGGGTGTATTGGTAATCCTGTAGTTTCCATTGGCAACCCATCAATCATCTTTCACTATTTCAGAAATAATCTCCATCAAAAAGATTAAAATTCATATCAAAATATAGGAAATCAACATATTCATGAGAAGAAAAAAGAAAGCAGAAAATATATGTGTAGAAAAAAATTTTAAATTCTTGCTTATCAATTCAGGTTTTGAAGTCTTCACGGATTCAGGCCAGCATACACCAACTGGAGCATTTATTGAACCCTAAGTAAAAAGACTTTGTATATATACCCACAAAATGAATAATTTAGTCTAATAATGTTTATTTTATTATTATAATCTTAGAAAAAAATGTGAAAATATTTTATAATGCCTTGTACAAGATATGTTGGTGTTTAGGCGAAGTGATCCTCCACGAATGCTTTTTGTTGCCTTGGTGCTTCCTTGACAACTATGGCTAGCTGGTTCATTTTTATAAGTTGATAACCCGAATGTATATATCATGTTCTAAAATACAGATTCCCTTTTACCACACCTGCTATTGTTTCTCCCCTCGTACTTGGTTTATATAATCCCCTTGTCCTTTCTGTTAGATTCTACTTTTTTAGAACAGTACTTAAAAGCTATTTGGCTTAATATTATGAGCTATACATGTTTATATAATCCCCTATACCCACAAAATGAATAATATTGCTGATAAAAAACGCTATTTGAATTAATATTATGTGCTATGCATGTTTTTAACAACCCCTGATTTCTATAGAAATTTACTATCCTCTTCACCATGTTAATGTTTGGTGTGGTTATGATAGGCCACTTGTTTCCATTTGACAAATCCGTGTTATCAATTTACAGAAGAGGAACAAATCTATTGTAGGCATTCAAAATTGTGAGGGCCATCTGAAGTTAAAAGTTGTATATTTCCACTGTGATCACATGTTACGTGCAGATGAATCATGATGCTAGGTTAAAATTTTGTTTGTGTATCAAGTGACCACTCATAACCTTGAGTTTTTAATCCGAGTAATTGGTGTACTATTTTCCATATGTATTTCTGTTGCTTACTACTTATTTGCTCCCATGATACTCTAGCATGGCGGTAATAGGTTGCAACATCCATATGCACTTCTTTAGTACTTTGGTAATCTGTAGAAGGGTCATAACCCAATTCTGGTCCTGGCTATTTGTGGTATTTGGAGGGTGAACTGGAGATGAACCTTACACTTTGCTTGTTCTGGCATGAAGTCGACTCTACTCTCAGACTCAAACCCAGATTCTCATGATTGTGAGCCCAAGATTTTATCACTGCACTAAGCAATTAATAGAGATGTGAGTTCTTGACAGCGGTCATAGTAGTATTCATTTGAAATACCTTTTCTATGATTTCCCCCTGGAACATGTGCAACTGTTTTCGATTATGGATAGTAGTATTCAAGTGTAGATCTAGCTTCTCCAAACTGCTGGGAAGAAGATGACAAATATTGATTGTTAGAATATTCGTCTTTTTCTTTAACCCATTAGGATTGAAAAATGTTTGAGGATGTGGTGGTATGATCTGGTTGTGGACAAAAAGTTATTGATGGTTGTGGACAAAGCTGAAACTTATCTTCTATTCATCATAAGTTATAAGCTAATACTGGTTCTATGATTTTGAGTGAAGTTGCAAGTCTATCTTCGCCCAA